GTACAAGTTGTAGAAGAAAAAAAATGAAAATAAAACAGTCTAACCATGTTTAGGGTTGGCCAATATAGCTTCTAGTACCTGTTTTTTTTCGTGGTTCTGTCAACTGACTGAGGTGTAACTTTTTGTGGCATAGGGTGGTATGATGTAATTGTCCTTCCAGTAAGTGAATGCAAGTGGACATTTAAGGAGGGTGATGTTGCAATTCTTTCAACTCCCCGGCCTGGATCAGGTCTGATACGTGAATACATTTCTGTCAAATTATTGCATTCGATATTAGTTCTTTTGATATGTTACTTACATTTACTCTTATTATGTCAAGCAGTCAGATCCAAAAGGAACAATTCTTCAGCTGAGGGTGACGAGGAGCCTGAAATCACTGGGCGTGTGGCTGGTACTGTCCGGCGACATATGCCTATCGATACTCGTGATCCCCCAGGAGCGATCCTTCATTTTTATGTTGGGGATGATTCTAATAGGTAGTCTATTTGTTTTTCTATGATTTTGGATTATTAGTTTGATTTCCTTTTGTATTTTTGTAGCAAATATGCTTACATTTTTTTCTTTTCTCTCTCTCCTTTTGATATTACTTTTCCAGCTTGGTTGATGATGAACATGTTCTAAGAAAGCTACAGCCCAAAGGAATTTGGTATTTAACTGTTCTTGGTTCTCTAGCAACCACCCAGCGAGAGTATGTTGCACTGCATGCATTTCGTCGTCTAAATATGCAGGTGACAAATTTTTGCATCAGCAATGACTATATATTCTGGTTTATTCTGGTTTTTTGTGCAAATAATAATTTGAGCGAACAATTTAACAGATGCAAGCAGCAATTCTTCGGCCCAGTCCTGAACACTTTCCAAAATACGAGCAGCAGTCCCCTGCTATGCCGGAATGCTTCACACCAAATTTCGTTGATCATTTGCATAGGACCTTTAATGGACCCCAGCTATCAGCAATCCAGTGGGCTGCAATGCACACAGCTGCTGGTACAAGTGGTGGAAAGAGGCAAGATCCATGGCCTTTTACACTTGTTCAAGGACCTCCTGGAACTGGTAAGACACACACAGTCTGGGGAATGCTAAATGTCATCCATCTGGTTCAGTATCAGCAGTACTACACTTCTTTGCTTAAGAAACTAGCACCCGAAAGCTATAAGCAAAATAGTGAGAGCAACGTTGATAATGTTGCTACGGGATCAATAGATGAGGTTCTTCAGAACATGGACCAGAATCTCCTTAGAACACTACCCAAGCTCTGTCCAAAGCCTAGAATGTTAGTTTGCGCCCCTTCTAATGCTGCAACTGATGAGCTTCTTGCCCGTGTTCTTGACCGGGGATTCATTGATGGTGAGATGAAAGTTTATCGGCCTGATGTAGCCCGAGTAGGTGTTGACTCACAGACACGTGCTGCCCAGGCAGTATCTGTTGAGCGGAGAACTGAACAGCTTCTGGTCAAGAATCGTGAGGAAGTTTTAGGGTGGATGCATCAGTTGAGACTTCGTGAAGCGCAGTTGTCTGTGCAGATATCGCATCTTCAAAGAGAACTTACTGTTGCAGCAGCTGCTGTCCGTTCACAAGGATCGGTTGGTGTTGATCCTGATGTTTTGGTGGCTCGGGACCAGAATCGGGATGAATTGCTGCAGAATCTTGCTGCTGTGGTTGAAAGCAGGGATAAAACTCTAGTTGAGCTGTCTCGCCTGTTTATTTTAGATAGCAAGTTTCGTGCTGGTGGCAATTTCAACTTGGAAGAAGCTCGAGCGAATCTTGAGGCTAGTTTTGCCAATGAGGCTGAGATTGTTTTCACTACTGTCTCAAGCAGTGGTCGCAAGCTGTTTTCGCGTCTTTCTCATGGGTTTGATATGGTTGTGATTGATGAGGCAGCCCAAGCCAGTGAAGTGGGAGTTCTTCCGCCCCTTTCTCTTGGTGCTGCACGATGTGTTCTTGTTGGGGATCCTCAGCAGCTTCCTGCCACAGTTATTAGCAAGGCTGCTGGAACCTTGTTATACAGTAGAAGTCTGTTTGAAAGATTCCAACAAGCAAAATGTCCAACAATGTTGTTATCTGTGCAGTATAGGATGCACCCTCAAATACGTGATTTTCCTTCAAAGTACTTCTACCAAGGACGCCTTACTGACAGTGAAAGTGTTGCTAATTTACCTGATGAAACCTACCACAAGGACCCTTTACTTAGACCTTACGTTTTTTTTGACATTTCCCATGGGCGGGAATCCCACAGAGGGGGATCAGTCTCTTATCAGAACATACATGAAGCTCAGTTTTGTGTTCGTTTGTATGAGCATCTTCAGAAGTCCTTGAAAGCGTTGGGGTTGGGGAAAGTTTCTGTTGGCATAATCACACCATATAAACTGCAACTCAAATGCCTCCAACGTGAGTTTGAGGATATTTTAAATTCAGAAGAAGGGAAGGATATATATATTAACACCGTAGATGCTTTCCAAGGCCAAGAGCGTGATGTGATTATCATGTCCTGTGTGCGTGCTTCAACTCATGGTGTTGGTTTTGTGGCAGACATCCGCCGTATGAATGTAGCTCTTACTCGTGCAAGAAGGGCTCTTTGGGTATGGATTTCTTCTATTTTGTCATTTTTTTAGTAATTACACACAAGTTTGCACCATCTACTTGCACATAATTTGCATTTCTAATTTCAGTATGAATCTTTTAACAGGTCATGGGGAATGCAAGTGCCTTAATGCAGTGTGACGATTGGGCTGCATTGATTACTGATGCCAAAGCCAGGAACTGTTTTATGGACATAGAGACTCTTCCCAAAGAATTTCGGGTACCAAGGGTACCTTCTTATGCTCAATTACCAGGAAAGCCTTCTAATATGAGGGGTTTCAGGTCTGCTGGACCAAGGCATAGATCAATGGATATGCACAAGGAATCCAGGTCAGGAACACCAGCAGAAGATGATGAGAAGTTGGGTGCATCAGTAGTTTCTAGGAATGGAAGTTACCGGCCTATGAAACCTCCATTTGAGAATTCCTTGGACGACTTTGATCAATCGGGTGATAAATCTAGAGATGCCTGGCAATATGGCATACAGAAGAAGCATGGTCCTGCTGGGGTTATTGGAAGGAGAGACATCTAGCTATTGATTGTTGGTTCTGAATCCTATGTTTGCGTCATTGGAGCTTTTTGGCATTCTATATTTTTCCAATAGTGCAATTCTTGCTCTTTTGTCTGCCAGAAGGCTCCTGGAGCACTAGCTTCCTGTGCTGATCTCTGAAATGGATGCCATAAATCTGAAAGGCTGAACTTTGTGTCGCATATGCTTTCAGTTACCTGAGGAGTTTGGCAGTAAGGGGGGCTTGGCAGGGGCTGTCGGCCTGTGCGTAAAGTTGCTTTTGCAGACGATCCACCACCTTACAATCTTCAGAGGTAAGACGAGAAAAATCATTTGATGTGCTGAAAGCCTGAAACATGGATTTGTAATTTGAGTAATGCTCTATAGCTCTGTAGTTTTCCTTTTCATATTTTGTATAGAATATCAAATAACTCAGGAATCAAATCGCCCGTGTTTTGATTGAGTTGATGATTTCAGTTGCAGAGATATAAAGAGGAAAGCTTCCGGATGACTCAATGGCTCTGTTCTCTCAAGCATACTCACCGACTCCTCCTTTTTTGGCGCCGTGACAGGAGTTAAATGAAGCTATGTACATTTTGGGACGCGCAAAATGCACGGTGACGAAATAGTAGATGAAGGGCGAATGTAAGGTTGTGGTCTGGTTAGGGAAGAATATGTTGTTTTGTCCTCCTGTTGTTTGAAGGTTAGTGACGTACATACATGCCAAAAGGTGGCATTTACTACAATCTTCTGTGTAGAAATGGTGGAAGTATAGAAATTGTATTAGGAAGAAAAACAATCAATCTGTAGTGTCAACTAACATGTACATAACATCTTTCAGCTGTGGAATCAAATATAAATTATGCTTTATGCTTTTACCTTGCAGTTTCCTTTGCATTTCTGTCCAAAGACACCTTAGCAATGATGAAGCACTCATTTGAATTTTGGTTCCATTTCTCATTTTTGGAATCGACATGGAGAGGGGGATTTGAACTTGGGACGTATTTTAACATTATGAAAGCAGTACTACATACTAAGAGTGAATTAGTTGTTTCTCGACTTTAATTAAAAAATGATGCGGTCTTTTTAACATTACTCTATCATAAAGATTATATTTATTTGTACCATATTATAAATGTCTCTAATAGATATGTGACTACTTGCTTTGGTAGACGCTTCCTCTTCTATAGGAGGGGTACACAACGTTTTTTATTTTTATTTTAACAAACAACATTATCGACACTAAAAGGGTAGAGAGTAGGTTAAGCCCTACAATGGACTAACGATAATGTGGTTCAAGTTTGCTTTTGTCGAGAATCAAACCTAAAACCTCACTTACAATTGAAGAGGAATATTACTACTATACTATTGTACTAAGTAGCTAGCAGTACACAATGTTATTTTTTTTTCTTTTGAGCAAACAATATTATCTACGTTAAGGGGGTAGGCTTAACCTTAGCCTTATAATGAGTTATTAATAATGTGGTTCAAATTTGCTGTTGGCGAGAATCAATTTAAGACATCTCACTTACAAGTGAAAAGAAATACTATTATACTGTTATACTAAGTAGCTAATGATACACAATGATAGGGAGGCTATATTATGCAACCTTTTTAATAGAGTTGCATACCCCATCAATAGAAGTAAGTCTCACATATTAGAGAGATAATGTAAATATTTTCCTGCACCATACTAAAAAATAACCAAACAAACATTTTTCGTTACAAAAATGTGATTTCCCTAGGACCCGCGTTTATGTAAACGTCACACCCACCAATATTTAGCGCTTCAAATTGAATGAGTATGGGCAATTCAGACTTTTAAGCATGAAACAGTCTGATGCGATCCACACGTAAGTAGATGACAAATGGGTTATGAAAATCCAGAGCAGACCAGCTGTGTCCTTAAAACCCAAGCCACAACATTAACATTACTGTTTCGAAAAGCACATGTTTTTGGACATTCAAACAGATGTCGGTTCGATCCAAATAATATTCTTCAAATATATAATCCAAACCTACCACATCTCCGCCTTCTCTCCCCCTCTCTCTCTCTGTTTTTTTACACAATCATACTTTCTTGTTTTTCACGGTTGACCATTTCTATGGTTTGGGAGAGCTGAGGAGCTCCGGAATACTAGTTTATCTCACCGCTTCCTGAGAAGCTCCCGCAAAATTCCTGAATCTGTTTGGTCAAGGTGAGATCTTGTCTTTTGTTTCCTAGATTTATGCCCCTAATTTTTGTGGGTCGGTTTCGATTTGCATTCCTAGTACCTGAAAAGGTTGTTTTTCTTTACCCATGATGTTTGTGATTTGGTGTGTTGGGTTGCATGCTTGTGTTGATTAAATATTAAAATGCGGTTTTGTAATAGTTAGTTATATACGGAGATAACCCATGATTGATTTTTTATTGTTTTATGAATTATTTTATGTGTAATTTACTAAAATAATTGACAAGAACACAGTACGAAAACCCACACGGTATTTTGTGTCAGCAGATCTCCCATTTGTTTGGGTGTTGGTTGAATGTCGATGGAAACATTCTGGTTAGGTTTTTGGATGCTACTGTTAGGAGAGTGGTGATTCCAATTTTGTCACGTAAATTAACAGAAAGGTTTATTAAGTTGATTGGTTGAGTAGATGGACTAGTAATTTGGATGAAGGTAAGACATTCTATGGGAATTTGGAACTAACTTATGATCCCATGTGTTTCTGCAAAGGAGGGAAATAGAGGACAATCTCGGGAGAACACGTCCAAGGAATTTTGTTCTTCTTTCAGCTAATAAAAGGTCCATGATAAGTGAAGTGATGTAATCTTGTTGCAATCCACCATAAGTTTTGTTTTTAAAGAATTAGAAAGGAACTCTCAGGAAGGTTCGGAGTGATTTGTAAATCTGATAACTGGAGAGCCTAATGTGTAGTCTTTGGTTTTATTAAGATCATATAAATAGGCACTTGGAAATAAATTTTCCCAATACGAGGAAATGAATTAAAAAACATGACAGATGTAACATACCTCCTGACAAAGCGAAAACATTTACATGGTACTCGTAGTGTAATACGTCCTGACAAAATTAAAACTTTATGTAGCACTTGGATCAGTAATTTCACCCCTCTAAAAATGATTTGAGGGATTGAAGTAACTAGCTTGTAAAAATGTATACCTTCTGATAACTAAAACGTAATATAGATAAGTTACGACTCATGCACGGCGAATTTCTATCAGAATAGATACACTTGAGATTTGCTAGTCATTCTTGATTCTTGAAGCATGCCTTTTGTTTTGTTTTCTGAAATATCTGTTTAATTATTTTGATAGATCGTTCTCTAAGCATGATTGCTTAATCAAGTATTTTATAGCTTAACAACAAAGAATTAAGCCCATTAATTGAGTTGACAGTTTTGAACAACAGTATAAAAAGGTTTGATCTAAATCATGAATGCCATATCCTAGTTTCCATAGTGGTCAACTAAGAATAAGTTTATTCCACGCATGCCTTTGTTGTGATTTTTATAGGATAGAGAACAAGCTTTTTATTACAGATCTTGCACGTTTATTTTATATGTTAAAGAATTGGGGATGGGAGACTAAAATGGGTAATTGACACTAGTACTTACAGAGTCTTTATTGTTGATTTACAGAGTTTTCTTCGAAAATTATGAGTGCGGGAATGAAGAAATCCCCTTCAAATGGTTCTGAGAAGATATTATCATGTGAAGAGCAGCAGGCAAAGGTATCTCCAGTAAAAGTTCTCCTGTTAGCATTCTATAAATGCTTTCTTTAATTTGTGTGAGTCCTATAAGTCGGGGTATGATGATTCTACCATTATTGTGGGGAGAAATTTTACTTGCCCTGTAACACTCTTCATGTTTGCAGATTAACGAAGTGAAAAAGCTGATAGGAACATTGCCTGATAAGTTGTCCATCTATTGTTCTGATGCCTCCATCTCAAGGTATCTAAGGGCGAGAAACTGGAATGTCAAGAAGGCAACTAAAATGTTAAAAGATACCTTAAGGTGGAGGTCAGAATACAAACCAGAAGAGATTCCTTGGGTACGCTTCATTCATAGCCTTAATAGTCAGAATTCATCCAGATTGTACCTTTTCATTATTCTTAGAACAGGATCTGTTACTCCTTAAGTTTCTGTAACATGGTTATTAGCCGCTCTGATGGGGTACTAGTTGTCAAATGAAGCCTGATAATATTCTGCAGGTTGTTCCTTGAATCTATGTTAAAGTGCCATGAAATTTAGGCTAAATTTATTAGGAATGCACTACAGAAATTAGATAGAGGAACTTGAAATTGACTAGATGCAATACATTTGAGAGAAATTTCAGATGACACCTTTCAGGTTGTTATTGTGGAAGTCCCTTGTTTCTTGTTTATTGTCTTTGGAGTGCATTTGTTCGGTAGTTTTGTAGTGCTTGAATAGTTCAATGGCGGTGTCCATGTAGTGTATTTTTAACAATTGAGTCTAAATTTCCTTGGCACTATGAAAGTCCCTCATACAAACATAAGGTTTTTATCTTTGTTCTACAATGCATCCTGAGCTGGCTTATTTGGTTCTCGTTCAATGCACGCAACGAGGGCCAGTTGTCATCTCTGTATTGTGTAATAGTTCATCCTAGGCTCACCAGCAGTCCTTTCTGAATCCAACCCCACGTATCACGTGACTGTAAAGAATTAATAGACCAATTATCAGACTCCAGCATTGCTATAACTACTTCAAACCCAGAAACCCAGATACTACAATAGTCAAGTGCAGTTCTTATGGTTGAGGTTGTAGTCCCAACTCAAATTCTTGCAGTATGTGGTTACACTTAAGAGGATGTTCTTACGAATTCATCGTTTCATTTTTAATATAGAAAGAGGTAGCTCGTGAAGCGGAAACAGGGAAGATTTACAGATCCAATTATTTTGACAAGCAAGGGAGACCAGTTCTCGTTATGAGACCACGTTGTCAGGTTTATCTTCCAAACTCTTCTGATACCTCCATGAATATTGTGTATTTTATAAGTTAGGCTACAATTTTAGATCAGAATATGTTGTTGGTCTTGGAGTGGCTACATCTGGAATCTTATCCTGCTGTCAAACTCTTTTTATTTGTCAACTTAATTCATCTCACCTACACAAAAAATCATTTATTGAAGCAAATACTTTATGCAAAAAGAACTAGTATGATGGTCCGATAATAAGCATATCGACCACAGTGCACCATTATTGCCAAAGTCATTGCCTATATTCATCTTGCTGAATTCCTGTATGTGGGATCTGCTGTTTTGTAGGCACATTTAATGCTCTAGAGATCCAAGTTTCAGAAGAAAACTAATCTTCCTTGTTAACTTTTTGTATTGTTATTGCAGAACTCAAAGTCAACAAAAGGACAGATTAAATATTTGGTATATTGCATGGAGAATGCTGTTTTAAATCTTCCGCCAGGTCAGGAACAGATGGTTTGGATGATAGACTTTGAAGGTTTCAATATGTCACATATTTCAGTGAAGGTGACACGGGAAACTGCACATGTTTTACAAAACCGTTATCCAGAACGCCTAGGTCTTGCAATACTGTACAATCCACCCAAGTTTTTTGAACCATTCTTTTCGGTAAGTTCTTTTGATGCTTTTTATTCCTCTTGTTTTAACTTTTTCGCTACATCTATACTCCTAGAGGATCATCATATGAAGCTGTAACACTATTGGTGTGCTGTTATACAGCTTTGGTCCTTGTCATAGACAATGTCTTGTTTAGGGAATATGAAGTACAATAACCACCTAAATTTGGGAGCCGGAAGAGTGCCAAAGTTTTAGCCTGATAAATTAATAATAATAACCGGTTTCTTTTTATCTTGTGCCATTCCAATTTCCAAGGAGCTGGCCGTTCCCTTTTCCCGGTATAGAAAAGTTCCAAATAGAGAGGATCCTAGTCACTTGGTGCTTGTAGATTTCCATTAATGTAGGTGAAATCTAGAGCCAAAATGTATCAGCTAGGTTCTTACGATGCGGATAATGTCTTTCTTTGTTACAGATGGTAAAGCCTTTTCTAGAGCCAAAGACTTGCAACAAAGTCAGGTTTGTTTACTCGGATGATGTTAACACCAAGAAGATAATGGAGGATCTGTTTGATATGAATAAACTGGAGGCTGTATTCGGGGGAAACGATACGTCTGGTTTTGATATAAATAAATATGCCGAAAGGATGAAGGAGGATGACAAGAAGATGCCCACAATGTGGACGAGAGGAAACCCTTCTTTGGCTGCTTCCGAACCTGCCGTTACCGGTGCTGCTCTTTCATTGGATTCTCTCAAGTTAGAACCAGATTCCGATGCTTCTGATAATGAGAAAACAGACGGCTCTTCATCCCAGGGGATAGAACCAGAAGTTGCCTCAGACCACGATGAGCCGGTGGCTGCTAGTACTGGAAATGCTACCCAAGGTGTACATTAAGAATGGCTCAAGGTGGATGATGGTGACTGAACTGATGTATCTCGCTGACCCTTTTGGCTGTCTGGTTAGGTACTTCAAATATATGGTTCCTGTCAACTCTAATCGCCAATTTATTTTGAGAAATTTTGGAGACTCAACGAATGAATTCGCCATTTGAAGTTAGCCGTAACTCCTTCACAATTCAAGTAAGAGATTTTTGCAAGTATATATTCTTTGTTGGCCCAAATGTTAAAATGGCCCCTCTATTTATGCCTTCTTTCTTTGTTGTGGTTCATTCTTCTTCCCATGCATTTTCTGCACATGTGAAAAAAGTTTTAAGAGCAATGATTGAATTTGCGCATCATGACATTTAAATCTCTCACATCGAAAAAGAGATGCCAAGTATTTTCCGATTGTTGAAAGCGCGTCTTAAAAAAAAAGGCTAATAGCACTGCTTTTGGGAGTAGGATTCTCTCTCCTCTTTTTTCTCCTCCCCTTCCCTCATTTCTTTTTTGAACGGTCACGGTTAAATCATGATAATATCTTATATTAATTTTATATAGAAAGAGAAAGACAAAAAAGAGAATGTGAGAGGACGGAGGAAAGGGGATGGAAAGAGGGGATGGAAAGAGGAGGGAGAGATAACTAATCCATGCTTTTGGGAGGTCTGACAACCAGAAACTCTTGAATGCGTTTGACATAAAAATTTAGAAGTGATTCCTAACTCATAGAGGTGCTTGCACTTGAATTTTTAACAAAAAATTCAACATGTTTATACTAAAAGCACTTCTACGAGAAAATCTTGAGTAAAAGTGCTTTCCAAAGAAGCCATCCATAAGAGGCTTAGGTAATTTGAAATGTAGCCCCTAGATTTTTTTACACGAAGGATGCCCCTCCATTTAAAATATTTTTATTTAAAAAAAAAAAAGAATTAACCCAACAAATAAAATGGATCCAAGGAAGACGATTACAAACTGGGAAGACAATAACATACACAACAACTTTCACTCCCATCTAAGACATTAACTTTAACTGAATTTGCTTGCTACACATACACAAAGTATACAGAAACAAGTAGCCAGGTCCGCGAGATTGAGACCCGTAACAACCTACTTCATATACACGTAAAACCTTGAGCTAAAGCGACCGGTACAAGACTGATGAAAGACAAGCCCCCCTGAGGAAAGCAAATGAATGTGCAGAAGCATACTTGAGATCTCGGAAGCATAAGAAAACCCATAATGTAGGTTACCTATGCTAGGAAGTAGCACACTAATGAACCATCTCATCTAACTTCTGCCTGTAAAGAGCCAAATTCTGCAACAAAATTCAAACAGCAGAAGCGTTACTTCGTTCCTTTTTGGATTAAAATTGTAGAAACTGGAAACAAAGAGAAAAGACGTTGACACTGATTATTCAATAATCGGTGTCTTTGCTCATATATATACTGAGAGCTATAAATCAATGCCAATTTGAGATGATTAAGGTCTAATCAAAGCTGTGTATATGTATGTTACAGCCTTCCTTGACGGGAAGAAGTTGAATCTTTAAAGGGAAGAGCAGAATCCAGTTTCTATGACTTGGAAGCTCCCTTTCTTTCCTCCGACAAAGGGAAGAGCAGGCACATTGTTTTTCTCAGCTGAAGTACTAAGAATTTTTTTCAAATTGCACCATCATAACTGGGTTTTATGCCTATACTATAAAATTGAACTGCAGAAAGGTTGCAACTAATACGAGAGGTTGCTTACCTTAGTGTAGGCATAAACCCCAGCCTCAGCAGGTCCCGCAGGACTTCCCCTCCGAATGAACTTTCCCTCTTTGGAAATGTAAAGCATAGGAATTCCAGTTGATAGTTCCAAACTAATAACCTGCAAAAGATAATAAGACAACATCAGTCTTTCTTTTCTCGTTCTATATAATGATTAGTCCCAAAAACCAGTGCATAGCTCAACCAAAGTGATATATCACCTCTTGAGAAGTCAGTTTGTCAAGATACATGATTATGGATCTCAGCGAATTCCCGTGGGCAGCAATCATAACATTCTTCCCAGCTAACAGTTGGGGTTCAATCTGCAATGTAATATTTTTGCAGTTAGATATTCAGAACGGCACATTGTTACTTGAGTTGAGACTCAAAAATGATACAAAATCCTTATAGCATACTGGATGTAACAAAAACAGTTAAGAGGACAAAGAGATATAGGTAAGCGCATGGTCATTCTTACTTGATCTTTGAAATAAGCAACAGCTCTTTGAGCGCACATTTCCAAACTCTCGCCATTGGGAGGAGGAATGTCATAACTCCGACGCCACTCATGAACTTGTTCCTTCCCATATCTGTCTGCTGTTTCCTGCTTATTAAGACCCTGTAATTCCCCATACCTAAAAACAAGATCCATGTCATGCAAGTACAGGGAAGAATCAGATAAGAATAATAATTCAAAAATGCAGAGATGGAATGCTACATTCTTTCATTCAATCGCCAATCTGCTACAACAGGAATGGTTTGCTTTAATGTGTCTTCACTGAAAATCTGACTCCATGCCCTAGCCCGTTCACTCTCGTTATGCATTATAACTGGGACCTGCAGGAAAACTGATATAAAGAGGCTGCCAAATGGATATATAACCAGAAATTATCTGTCATGCAGTGGAACATATTTAAGCGAAAAGAGTACAACCTGGAAAATCAAAGGAGTTCAGACATTAAATCAATTTTGAAAATGCAGCTCAAAAAAATAGCTTAATAGTTTTTTTTCTTTTTAGGGTACAGAAAGATGTTTTGTCTGCGTACTCCTGCTTAAATATCACGAATGGTATAAAACCATTTCAATAATCCAAGAACATCATTTTCCACTTTCCAGTCCCACTACCATAAAGCCGCCAAATAGTCATTCAAGTGGTTCCTACTGACACTCAACAAGATATTTTTCTCCAAATTACCTTCTTCCGACGGTGCTGTGTCATGGCAAGCATGGCAGTCATCTGTGCACGAATCAGTGCAGATGTATAGATCATGTCGACAGGTATGTTGCTGATTCTCTTGCCAGCTTCAATTGCCTCTTCTACACCCTTCTTGCTCAGAGGGACATCAACACAGCCTGTGAACAAGTTCTTTTCGTTCCACAGTGACTCACCATGCCTAATCAAAATCAAAGCTGCTTCATCTGAAATGCAGGGGGAAACAGTGCAAAATTTTACAAACAGAAATTTAAACTTCAAACTCATTAGGATACAGCATATATAAAAAATAAGTTCAACAACCATTTTGTTTCTAAGAAATTGAATTATATGACCATGTTATTAAAGAATCAACAACAAAGAATTAACATGGGTTATTTACTATTCACCATTCAATCAATCAAAATAGAATGGTTAAAAATGCGTACTAGACTTTTTCCGAGAATCATTGGCTTTGGTATGTGAGGGAGATGAAACTATATCAATCACTGAAGCCTGGGAAGCTGAGGCTCGAATTACACTAACGTTTCTCTTGGAAGAGATGTAGCATCCTCTTTTTGACAGTCCAATATCAATCTCAAAACCCTTTGAAATGAAACTCACTGAGCTTTTCGCAAGCTCTTGAAGCAGGCCGGAATTATTAACATGCCCAACAGAGTGAGGAGTCCCAATGCTTTGGTGAAATGCAGCAGCAGCAGCAGCCATTCTGAAAAAATCATAACATCCCAGGTGATGACATAAGTACACAAATTATACAAAATCTTATAGTACAAACAAATTATCAAAAATTTTGGGACAAAAGAACACTGTGTAGTCTTTCTATGGTAAAAAAAATAAAAGGATGCAAAGTGAAGGAAAACATTATAAACAAATGATGCAATCGATATCAGGGAATGGGGATTTGAACTCAGGACCTCGAACGCAGAGTAAGAGCTTTTAACTTACTGAGCTACAAGCCCCTTGCAACGAAAACGTGGTTGAACTATTGTAACTTGTCATGCTTTATAAACAATGGCAAAAACCATTTTGTACTCCAATATCAGATCATACATGAATCGTTATAAAGTTATAGAGCTCAGAAAAACATGTTTATCCATCATAATCAAGCCCATTTGACCGACACATGGAAGATTAATTAGCAGAAAACACTTGGCACTGATTATGTAACAATAATTTTAAATTATCAGTAACAGATGCAAACCCAATACTCTTGCTCAAACTAATTCCCAATGAAAATTAGAACCAAAAAACCCAGAACAAACTGGTTTTCCATATTTTCTCAAATATTCAAGCACATTCAAACCAAATCTAAAAAGTGAAAAAAGTACAGACCTTTGCAGAGACTAAGAGTATCAGAGACAAACCCAGAAGCTAAAATCCGCAGATGGAAATGCAGAAGCAATCAAATTTGAAAACACAGAAAGGGTGGTGGGTGCACTTTGAAAATTACCTGGTTTTATAAATATGAAAAGGCGACGAAACCGAGGGAAATGGGGCGACAGAGTTTATTACGAGAGAGGTTGACGGAGAAGAAGATGGCTGATGAGTTGTTTGCTGAAAGAGAAAGCTAATAGCTACAACATGATATCAATGTCTGTCCATCTCTCATAACATTGACCTCCCAACAAGTTTCAGGAGGAGAAGGAAAGAAAGGAAACTGGTTTTTATTTTACACTAGCATCTAACGCGTGTGTCAATTTACTCTCTTTTAATTTAATAATTATTATTTTCTGAATATTTTAATTTATTTGAAAAAAATAACTTAATTTACAGTAGTTTATATTTCTAAAAAATTATAAAAAAAAGGTGGCTAGTCACTCTTCCATGTGGGATTGTTTTCTTTTGATTCTTTTAATAATTTGCCTTTATTTGATAATTTGTTCATGTAAAAAGTTGTAAAAGAGAGAGGCACTTAGGGGCACTTAGATCTTGTTCCAAAAAATCAACATAGCTACTAGGTTAAGTCCAGAATATACCTACAAGCAAGATACATTAATCTTTGATACATGTTGATTATAAAAAAGAATATATCATATAGATAGATAAATGCAGTAACCTGTAATATATGTTGATTTTAAGGTACAAAATATAATATACCAATAACCATAAGCATGACACATTAATCTCTGATATAAGTTGATAATAAAAATAATTTGTCATGCATGTAAATAAAGACAATTAACCTATGATATAGGTTGATTATAAAAACTAAAATTAAAATCTATGAATGAGGTTTAGAGTACGAAGGAGAAGAAGAAATAATAAAAAGAAAATAAAATAAGAAGAAATAAGTAAAGAGATAACTAGGAAGAGATCTAATTCCTACAATAAATTTTATCGTTAAAGAGAATTTTGATAATAAAATAATTTTAAATTCAAGGAACCGGACCTATTTTAATAAAATGACTTATTCTTAATATTGGCTAAAAATTAAACTTATATCCAAATTTTACTTTAATAGTACGAATGTTTCATCAAATATGTCATATTTTTATATATAGAGATGTATATAATTATTATATATAATAACATATAATCAATATTTATATTTATAGAAGAAATCGTCGTAGTTTGTCTTCGTCATTAAAAGCGTTGTAAAGCAACAGTGTATTGACAAAGGGTTTGCCAAAGTTGGCGGCAGGCTGGTGGGCTTTTCTGCCTCTGACCATGTTAGGTAGGTTTGACTTCAATGCTTTTTCTCTAATATTAGGACAAGTTTATTTTATTTATTTAATTTGGATGATATAAGTTTTATTTTATTTTAATTTTGTTTTTGTTTTTGTTTTTGTCAATGGATGATAAAAGTTGATTACGTGGTTAATGAGAGGATAAGTAATGGGTAACTGCTAAATCCATATGCTAATGTATATGTGTTTGTTCCTTTATTTTTGACTTGGATAAGAAGGTTTAGATAATAATTTGGGCAAAGAGTTAGTTGGAGGAGGTAAGGACCAATGGATTTAATTGATAAATTACAAGTTAACTAACAAGTTTATAGCAAGATTTTGTAGATACATTGGCGTATTATTTCAACATTAACAAACCTTATGTGGGTTTTCGATTATCGTTTAGTTTAACGAGCTTAAATACATTTGCAATGTAGGTTCTGACTGACTTCTGAGATCAAATATTATAAACGACATACTAAATTGATTATATATATATAATAAAAGAGTGGTAGATTGTTGTACTTAACATCACGTTCTTTGTAGGATGACCAATTTGGGTTGGCCTCATCACCCACTAGAGGGTTTAATTTTCATGTGGGCATACTTGAAAGGGCCAGATTGTAAATGATCTAAGTCTATTTTATTCATTTATAAGACAACAAATGCTTTCGAAGGGGCAATAATATAGCCTCCTAATTAAGTAATTTGCTAAAAATACTCCAAACAAAGCAAACCTTTAAGCCACTTAGTACTATGATTTATTGATATTTCTTTTCATTTGTAAATAAGATGTTTTAAGTTCGATTCTCATTAAAGATGAATTTGAACTACATTATTACTAGTTTATTGTGAGTCTTACCTCACTCCATTTCCTTGAATGTACATAATATCACTGGTTAAAAAATAAAAAAAATAAAAAATAAAAAGTCACCAAAGTTATACCACCTACCTCCAATACTAATACCACCAACCCCACACACACCACCTTCCTTTTTGGTGGTTTTTTTGGACAGAACACGTGCTTGTGTTGTTCGTGCACAGCTTACGCATTGATGCATTGATGCGTACCAAATACATGCAACCATGTGACACCTAACTCCTCCCTCTGCATTCACATTTCACATATTTTAATACTCAACGGTTTCAGATTTTGCCACGTGGAAAATTAACAAGAAAGGAAAGGGATGGTGTGTGATAAGAATATTCTGGCATGGAGTCTCTGATGATAATGGAATATGCTTCTCTTAAACGTGTTGGTTTACGAAAGGTTATAATTTATTGGACGGTCCAGAGTAAACCTTGGAGCTTGTGAATGTGATGTGATCCACAACGCTCTGATTTAGGTGACCTTGACTTCAAATTATGCACTTGTGTTGGGCTTAGTTGCCTTTTGCATTATAACACTTTTTTTTCTTCATCTAAAGTTGAATTCTTACGTTATTTAATGCTACAATGTAATGATATTTTTTTTTTCACTTGTAAGTGAGAAGTTTTAAGTTCGATTCTCGCCAAAGACGAATTTAAATGATATTATTGCTTGCTCATTGTGAGACTAAGTCCATCCCCTCTTATTTAGTATAAATAATATCGTTTGTTAAAAAAAAATCAACTTCTTACAATAAATAAACTATAATCTCTCCTTTGTCAGAAAGGGTTTTCTGTGTAACTTTCTTTCTTTTCCTATATTAAAAAACTCTAATCTCCTCCAAATTTAGAGAAATGCAGGTGTTATAGGAAGAAAGCACGTATATTTTTAATAAAATTATGACACACTTACAAAGCGCTTATTAGCAATAGTGCTAACTAGGTAAGTATTTTCATGCTAAGAGAATTAAGAATAAGAATTGGATCATTTCATGTAGTGTTCTTGTCAGTGGCGGAGCCAAGAATTTAAGACAATGGGGTCAAAAAATAGCTTTAAAAAATCGATCATACTTTCATTCATAATTGTCCACGACGTGTTCTCATATTTTGGAAACGTCGTATTACAACATCATTACTAATAGAATCATATACATATTTCTCAATGTACACAACCAAACTATCATTCAACCATTGATCACCCATCCTATTACGATGTGGATTCTTCACAATTTTCATCACCGAAAAAGCTCTTTCAACTGAAGCAGTCGCAACAGGTAAAATCAATGCTAATTTCACTAGCAAGTACACCAGGGGATACTGTCTATCCATCTTTGTCTCCACCAACTTTTGTGCAAGGTTATTAATTCCTTTCAACGCAGAAAATTCATTATGCAAACGCATATCAAATATATAATTCTTCAGTTCATCTTCAAGAAGTGTGAGCTCCATATCAGAAAAATCCTTTGGATAAAATTCAGCAAGTTGAACTAACTTTTCAATGTCAAAAGCTGAGAATGAGTCATCTGGGCTTAAGCATGCAACAGACAACTCTGTACTTGTCTCATTAAAACGATTGTTCAACTCTTGAAGTTGCTTATCAAAACATCAATAAAGAGATCAACACGGTAGTGTGAAGGTTTGTTTTCAAATTTCTACGCCGTGACCTCCCTCGAGCTACAAAGATGTCATTCATATCAGAAATATCAATATCATGCTTGCCACAAAAAGAAGAAACTTCATCAAGCCAAGCATCCCATCCATTAGCCCTCATCGCTTGTAGTTGTTGCTTACATGCTTTGACTAAAGCCATAACACTCACTATATCGAGAACTTTCTTTTGCAATGCATGTGACAACACATTTGTGATTCCCAATATTTCTTTCATCAGAAAGAGACTAGAGACAAAATCAAAAGATTGCAAAAGATTCAACAAAATATCCGCTTCACCTCTTTGATCAAGACTTACACCATCATCTACAATCATCTCAAGCACCTCAATTACAGAAGAAAACATATTAACAAGCTTACCAAAGGTACCATAGTGTTGAGCCCCAACGTGTATCACCTGCACGTTTAAGACTAGTTTCTTGGTTCAAGCCTTGCCCACTTGGAAGCTCATAATTTTGAATAGCTTCCATAACTTTGGTTTGTTGTCTTTCTCTAACCATGTCTCAACGTTTACATGATGCTCCGACAATAGTAACGACATTATTAACCAAGCAGAAAAAGAGCCAATTTGAATATGATTTTTCGCTACGGCTACAAGAGCAAGTTGAAGTTGATGTGCAAAGCAATGAATATAAAATGCACTTTCATTTTCTTTCAAAATAAGTGTCTTAAGGCCATTAAACTCACCTTGCATATTGCTAGCCCCATCATAACCTTGTCCATGCAATCTAGATATGCTTAATCCGTTTACAGAGAAGAATTGATCAATTGCCTCTTTAAGTGAAATAGCAGTGGTATTAGGAACATGCTTTATGCCCACAAATCTTTCAACTACTTGTCCGTTGGTATTCACATAGCAAAGTACAACTGCCATTTGCTCCTTGACTGATATATCACGCGATTTATCAACCAAAACAGAAAAGAAAGCATCATCACCAATATCAAACATGATAGCATTAGTGGTTTCACATGCTGCTGCATACACAAGATCTTTTTGAATATCAGGTGATGTTAACTTGAGATTTTCAGGAGCATTTTTAAACACCACATCTTTAATACCCTCATTATGATATGCGAGAAACTTCAAAAGCTCAAGAAAATTACCCTTATTGCTTGAATCTTCACTTTCATCATGACCGCGAAACTTCAAAAGCTCAAGAAAATTACCCTTAAGGCTACTAGGGTGGCACTTATGGATTAGGATTGGTGTACATTTGGGAATGTAAAGAAGGAAATTGGTAAGATGAGGGATAAATTAGCGGTGTTGTTTGCGCAACTTTATACGGGGGTGACCATTGCACAAAGGAAGGATTTGATGGAAAGTTTGGAGGGTTTGCTTTCTCGAGAGGAAACATATTGGTGACAACGGTCATGGGTGACGTGGTTGAGGGAAAGAGATAAGAATTCGAAGTGGTTTCACTGTAAGGCTTCGAATAGAAATCGAAAAAATTGCTATAAAAGGCCTGCAGGATGATGCATGACTATGGCAGGAGTTGGCGCAGGGCATTGAAAGGACAATACTTCAATATTTTCACCATATTTTCACTTCCTAAAGGTTGCTTCCAAATGCACTTGGGGAGGTTATTGGGAGTGTTGCCCCGATGGTTATTAATGAGACGAACGACAGTTTGTTAAGTCCTATTAGGGAGGAGGAAGTGAAAGGTGCTTTGTTTCAAATACACCCATCCAAATCGCCAGGTCCTGATGGGATGTCCCTTTTGTTCTATCAAAATATTGGCATGTTGTTGGTAGTGATGTGGTGGATGTTGTGCGTTCTTTCTTTGAGTTAGGGTGTCTATTGCAGGAAGTGTGCTTTACACACGTGGTATTGATCTCGGAAGTGAAGGAACCCCAAGATATGTCTCACTTACGTCCGATCAGTTTATGTAATGTTCTTTACAAGATTTGTGCTAAGGTGTAGGCAAACCGTTTAAAGCCTATTTTAACTACTTTGATTTCTCCTTTCCAAAGTGCTTTTGTTCCAGGACGTTTAACATCGGACAACTCTTTGTTGGCGGCGGAGGTAGGTCATTTCATTCATAATAAGCAGAGTGGACGAGATGGCTATTTTGCACCCAAGTTGAATTTAAGTAAGGCTTATGATCGAGTTGAATGGCATTTCCTTAAGGAAATGACGCGATGCATGGGTTTTGTCGAGGCTTGGGTGAAGCTTGTTATGGCATGTGTTTCATTCGTGTCGTACTCATTCCTTATCAATGGAAAGGAATGGGTACTTGATCTCCTCGAGAGGACTGAGACAAGGCGATCCATTATCACCTCATCTCTTTCCATTGTGTGTGGAGGGATTATCTGCCTTTATCTCACAGAAGGAGTGCGAAGGGATTCTTCACCAAGTACAATTTGCGAAGTCGGCCCCAAGGCTACATCACTTGTTATTTGCAGATAATAGCTTCTTCTTCGCCCGGGCTATGTTGGAGGATTGTGGAGTCGTGCAGAAGGTGTTGGATGTGTACTCTCAAGCATCTAAGCAAACTAAAAGTTTCCATAAGAGTAGTGATGTCAAATGTTCTGGAGACTTTACAAGTTCAACTAGCATCTTTCTTAGGAGTACAGAAGGTGGAGTGACATGATATATACTTGGGGCTGCCAACGTTCGTTGGAAAAAAATAAGAAACAAACATTTTTGTTCATTAAAGAACGAGTGAATCAGCAGCTCAAAGGGTGGAAAGGCAAATTGTTGAGTAGAGCGGGTAAGGAGTTACTTATCAAAGTGGTAACTTAGGCTTTGCCAGTATACGCCATGCAAAGTTTCTTATTGCCTAAAACATTTTGTGAAGAGCTCTAACAACTAATGGCAAAAACATTTTGTGAAGAGCTCTAACAACTAATGGCAAAGTTTTGGTGGAGTAGTGATATTGAAACTCAAAAAATTCATTGAATTTCATGGGAGAATGTGTTGTCCAAAGAGTGAGTGAGGTATGGGCTTTTGAGACCTTTATCCGGAGTCTTTGATGAGTAAGGTGTTAAAGGCAAAGTATTTTCATGATGGAAACTTTTGGAGTGATGTTGCTCTTCTTACGACGTCCTATGCTTGGAAGATCATTGTGCAATCATGTGGAGTATTGGAGCTCAGGGTTGCGGTGGGATATTGGTAATGGAGAAATTGTTCATGTTTGGAAGGATAAATGGATTCCTAGACTGTTTACTTTCAAAATATGTACTTCGATGCCACCGATGCTCTTGGACTTAAAGGTGAAGGACCTAGTTTTAGTTGATGGGATGCGCTGGGATGTGGCGCTGCTGCAACAATTATTTTTGAAGGACAAGGTGAGGTTCATTTGTTCAATTCCGCTTAGCTTTCGAAGGCCGTCAGACATGTTAATGTGACATTATGGTAAGAATGGCGTTTTCTCGGTTAAGAGCACATATCAAGTTGCAAGACATATGATTGCTCATTCACATATTGTTGCTTCTTCATCCTTTGATAATGGTGGCGCCTATCGTGGTCCTTGGCATGCCATTTGGAAGCCGTGGGTGCCACCCAGAGTAAAAATTTGTGGGTGGAATGTGTGTAATGATATCCTCCCCACAAGGAGGAGTTTGTCCACCAAAGGTGTTAGGCTTGATGTATCTTGCCCACGTTGCAATGCAGTCCTTGAGTAGGCACAACATGTACTTTGGGATTGTCATTTTGCTCGTGCGGTCTGGTTTGTTGCACCATTGGGGTTAGGAGGGATATGGAGGCTAAGATGGTGGAGTTTGATGTGGTTCTAATGGTGATTTGGGCTTTATGGAAAGGTCAGAATGATGTGGTCTGGGAAGGGCAGCGGTCTAATCCGTTGAAGGTGGTTCAACGCACGACTAGTTGGCTCAATGAATTTCAGAAGGCTAACCATCAACCCAGTCAGGTAAGAGAACCCGTGCCACTGCGTTGGGCAGCGCCAAGTGATGACTGGTTTAAATTGAATGTGGATGGAGCAGTGAAGGTGTAGGAAACAGTAGGGGGAGCAGGATGGGTGGTTCGAGGGGTGGGTGGTTTGTTCAGGGTTGTGGTGGTGAGGCTTTTTAGGGGACTGCTTCGGTTAAATAGGTGGAGCTCCTTGCTGTTTTGGTTGGGTCACAGTTGGCGAAGTTCCTTGGCGTCACGCATGTTGCAATGGGAATTTGACTCCATGGAAGCGGTGGCATGTTGTTGCAAGGCGAGCGGGGGAGATCTCTCCAGCCTTGGTTTCTTATATTCCTCGTAGTTGTAATGGAGTCTCATTGTTTAGCTAAGTCCAGTTTAATTAGTGCGGACTCAAAAGTATGGTTCGAGGAACCCCCAGATTTCCTTTGGGTTGTACTCATCAACCATAATTTAGCCCATTGAGGGTGTTTCCAATAAAATATCGTATTTCCTTAAAAAAAAAATATTTGGTTACATTTTGTTCATTGTATTTATATTAAACATACATTTATATATTAAAAAGGATAAGCATACTAGAATACCACAAAATTAATTGAATTGATACATAAACATATACCAAATATTAAGAAAGAATAATAAATTGCATGTATGGAAAAGTTATAAAAAAATATCAAAAACTTAAATATTATATGAATTTCCAATTTATGTTCCGAAATTTCTGAGATTACTCAAATTCCAAAATTTCTAAATATGCCAAAAATTTCGAATTTGAAAATTATGATTCAATTCGTCCGATTTCGAAATTTTGATACGAAAATGGGAAATGTTGATACGAAAATGGGAAGCTTTTTGAGTCAATCACAGATGCAGCCTACCAAGTCGCTCATACATTATCTTCTGAATGATGAACCTCTCAGACCTCATGCCCGAGCACGCATTTGCTCGCACAACTTGGTTAGACGATCAAGAACTTGTTCATACGACTGCTGTACACAATCGAGAAGATTTATGATCAATGCCTGCATCCGAAGTTGGTCTTTGATGCTGATAAGTTGATGATATGAGATATCAGGGAGCTTCAAATTGTACTCTCCTTTACCAGAAATTTGTAGTCCGAAGATTTGCTTCATGATTTTACCTAGCTTTTAAGATTAATTAATCTTTTCCTATTTTTAATCGCGATATTATTTCGATTGGCTCATTGTTCCATGCGTATGGTGCAAGACACTACACGATAACATCTAATTTTTCCAAGAAATTTTCTATGCGATGCGATGTATTAAAACAACATTGAATTACATTGAGAAAATCAATTTAATCAATTATTAATATATATATATATATATATATATATATATAACAGAAACCATATTATCCAGTCCAGAAGAGACCATGAAATAAAATTTAAAGAGTACAGCAAATAAATCAAGAAATCACTAGGTGTTGAGATAACAAGCCATCAAACAACAGCAAACATTAGCAGCGTGAACCAAGCAAGGTTTAAAAAGTAGAGACACAAACTAGGAACTCAAACCGACACCTACACGTCGAGCTCCTGCAGTTCCTTCAGAATCTGGGTGCAACCAGACAAGGCCTCGGTCCTCATGAACCCCATTGCATTGGCAAAACGGGTGTATGAAGCAATGCCATTGTAGCCGGTGAGGATGACCCGTGCACGCTCACGCCCCGGGGAAACTGTTGCACAGTCCTTCTGAGGGCTGCTAACAAGGACTGCATCACAGAACTGGTCCAAATGGTCCTCTGCGACCGGGATCTTATAGCAACCAGCTGAGTCGGTTGTCCCTTCTTTGGTGTACACGAGTGCCATGCTGCTTTTGTCTCTGCATTCCAGTCTAACCTTGGCACCTATAATTAACATCACCAAATAAAACTTGTTAGAGGAAATCTCCAATCCAATCGAGAGTTCGAAATAGTTTCTAATATTTCCTTCCAAATTGTCAGTTTAAAGAATCAATGATACCGAGGATGAACACAACCAAACCCTGAACTAGTAAACCAAAACGGTTGGCAAATCATCAAAACCTATGCTAAACATGAACATACGATTCAATAACTATCAAATCACCAAAGTTTTCCTAACAAACCGATGTCACGAACGACATTAGTTTTAGAAATCAATGCAGCAAAGAGTCGATGCACATATGATTTTTTTTTTTTTTTTTTTTTGAATCTAGTGTCTCCGGGTCTTTGACCCGACTACTCACTAGGCCACCCGCCTAACCCCACAACATTTGGTAGGCAAGAAACTCTAGCAATTGCTAGGTGGGTACCTTGAGAGGTGTCGAACCCCAGACCTCTTGGTAACAAACCAAGGGCCTGACCATTAGACTAAACACTCTTAGGTGTCGATGCACATATGATCAACGAATCATTACAGACAATGTTTAGCTTTCTCAAATCGTACGATACTGTACTCCCCAACTGTCGACCTACAACAATGCTAATTCTCGAAACAATATCCCCACACCGAAATCTTGTCAAAACATGATCATAAACTAGAACCAACAACCATGGAGCAAACAAAACTCTTCCTAACTATTTATTCCGAAAACGATGTCACGAACGAACGACATAACCGTACGTTAGAAATGTATCCATTCAAAGTTGACCTAGATGTGAACAAAATCATACCCTGCAGATAAGATGTCCTTAATTTTCAATCAAAGATCCAAGATGGGTTCTTTATTTGTGTATTGATGAACGGTTGCAGGGGCCGGATCGTATATTATTATGTAAAGTCAATGTCACCATCTATCAATCTAACGTCAAATATTCTTTGGCATGCACTAACACGCACACATAAGAAAATAATAAACACAACAAACCCCAAAAGCATCATCATTTGACCATACAGTCCACCTTATTCAAACTTCAAACCCAGTCAGATCTGAGATTTAAAAAACCAAATCTTGCAACTAAATTTACAAACAGAAGACGCAACATTTCCAGATCTATCAAATGAGATCCAAATTTCTAAAAGCAAAATTAGAGCTAAAACCAAAATCGGAGTTAAAAAATTGTTACCGGCAATGTAGGTGATGGCTTTGGTCTCGTACCCAGCGCGGCAAGTGTCGCAGTAGACCTTCCCCTCCACCGTGAACGGGGTCTTCATGGGACGCGTGGCGGCGGCCAGAGCCGGCAGCACGCACAGAGCAATTAGCAGAACCAATTTCGCCATTGAAGCCCTTTTCAGTCTTTTCACTTCGTTCCAGCAGAGAAATTTGAGAGAGAAGAAGATTGAAGAAACGAAATGCAGAGGAGCGAGATATATGAAGAGAGAGAGAGAGAGAGAGAGAGAGAGAGTGATGATGCCGCTGGGGAAAAGGTTTGAGTAATAAGCGGAAAAATTGATTGCCCAAACCGCGTAAACTCGGCTTTTGCCTACGCGCTTAGGGCGGTGCACCGTTAAGTCAGCGAATTAATGGATGCCACGTGGTGAGGTGTGGGTTTTCGGTCATTGCGGTTGGGTAAGATTGGGGGATTTGTGGGAGGGTGCAAGGGGATGTTGTGGGAACGGGTGCACAGGAAAGAACGCGGGGTGGGGTCTGTGATTGACAGCAGCTGGCGATGTCGGTGCTCACATGGGAGCTCTACAGCTACGGGAAACTTGTGAAAGCAATCAACTGAATCAAGTGCTGGCGATTTGACCAAAAACAAAAACAAAAACAAAGTGGTGGCGACGATGTAAACCTACGTCGTTCCGGCTGTACTCTTTAGTGTGTTTTATTATTATTTGGGTTGACATCCTTTGTAAACTTCTATTTCATCCTTTATCTATCAATAAAAGAGTAAGTGTACATATTCAAGTAATTCTCCACTCTTAAGTAAGTTTTCATTCTTTCTTTAGTGTGTTAGTTTAATTAGACTTTATGTCCAAAACAAGGAAACACTATTATTGTTATATTATTAATTTGTTAAACTGATGATCATTCTTTTTTCGAGCACTATGTTGTAGTTGAATGATTGCTATACAAATAACTGGACATTAACTAGGGTACCTTTGAGTTCAGCCTTTATGGTTTTATACTTGCATTGTGAGCGGCCGTCATCTTGAAACATGTTTAGATTCATGTGTAAGGTTTCATGTCTAATTGTTATAATCGTCATTTGGCTATTTAAACGATCTGCTTCGAATTTGGCATTAGAGCTAAGTTTAGCATTTTAATGCCCTTTAAGGGAAGGGATCTTCATTTTTCAAAAAAAAAAAAAAAAAAGGGACCACAAGATTTCATTAAAGCCAAATCTAACAGTTATTCCTTTAATAGTATGCCTATAATAGTATAGTACCTTAAGGACGGAAGTCATCAACACACAGTTGCTTATTCTTGCTTGAACACTGTATATTATTGTCCTCGCAAACCTTGTCAACCAAAACCACTAGAAATTTATTGTCTTAGACATCCCGCTAAGACTAGCATATATTTACAAGAAAATTAACAAGAATCTGAAGAAACAAAACTTTTATCTTAAGTTATATTGAACACTTGCCATTTACTAGTAAAGGTAAATAAGTGCAACATAATGTATTAGCAGCAAAACGAGCAACTGGTCGTACTTTAGAGATTTTGAGAGAAGAAAGAGAGTTTGTAAGAAATCAAGTAGCAATAACCTTAGAGAAAGCTAAACTATAGTTTATGATAGATAACCTTAATTTTTTTAATCACAAATATCCCTAAATAGACCCATCCTATCAAGATGGTCCCTAAAATTGAAAATCGATCAATGTAGTCCTTAAATATGGGTGTCAGAAATCAACGTGGTCCTTCTGTTATATCAAGGTCGTCTGATTCGACTCAACCACTGATCGATTACGACGAGTTAGGATTGAGTCTGGGTGGGAGTTGGGTGACGAATCAGTGTTTGAGTTGTCGATGAGTTTCGGTGAGGAAGAGAAGACGGTGGTGGCGAATGGAGGATGCTGGAGCTGAAGCCTAAGAGATCGTCGGTGACTGAAGAAAAGTAGTGACTGGTATTGAGGCAATGAAGGTTTAGAATTGGGGACGAGGAAAAAGAGTTTTTTTTTTTTCTTTTTTCCTTAAGAAGAGTTTTTTTTTCTTTTTTCCTTGTTAAAGTATAAAAATAAAAATATTTTGCCATTCAATGCTACAGTCTGGTGATATTCCTCTTTACTTGGAAGTGAGAGGTCTTAGGTTCGAATCTCGTAGATGACGAATTTGATACCAAATTAGGTTGCCCATCATTTGGTTAGCCGAACCCCCTTCCCTTAGTGTAAAAATATCGATGTACTCAATTTTTTTTATTATTTAATTGAAATATGTAATTAAACTTGTGGGACCTAGTTATGTGACACATCATCACATAACAAAATTTTTGACGGAATTGTGATGTAAATACCAAATTGATTTGTGACACCCATTTTAGGGACTACATTGATTGATTTTCAATTTTAGGAATCATCTTGATGGGATGGTTCAATTTCAGAGACCACTTGTGATAAAAACCCTTTAGAAATTAGTGAACAACAAAGGAGAAAAATCACCCTAGACCAAAATAGTTTAGTTTTTTATTTTCCAATAAGGAAGCATAATCATATTTTGCATAGTAAGAACATCCCCGAGAAAATAGTATTGTGGATCTTATTATTAGTTAAGCAAAAGGTATAAAATTAGAAAATAATAAGCAAATATTTATTAAACCAGTTATTGGATTTGAATCAACTTATGCAGCAGAGGAGTCGGGCCCAAGAAAATGGCCTTGGAGGGGCTTCACTTGGCTAACCCGATGCCATTTGGGCCAAATAATGGTTTGTTCGACTCCATAGGAATATGCCCCATCCATCTATTCGAGATGAATTTTTGGGCAAATTAGACTATTTTTTTGTTTTTTGATCTTTAGCCTTCTCCAATGAAGATGGCTGATGAGTCTATGCTTAGAATGCTTTGGTAATTATTTAGGTGAAATTTTGATACTTTGATTTTTATTTTTAATGTAGAACATGCGACTTCCTCTTGAGCAAAAAGTTGTAAAGTTGTAATTATTTTTTTATTTTTTATTTTTACATTTGTAACTCTTCTACATTAATTTTGCAATCGAACAATAAACAGTATTCGTGAGGGTTTAGAGGGTTTTAAAAAGCTAAACGATGATGTAACTATCGTCTAAGCATAGACGATTCCATCACAACATTTGTATATTCTTTTTGTATTTTTCTTCACATTTTTGCATTAATTATTATAAATTTTTATTTACTTTGGAATCCAAACAACGATGTAGTCATCATCAAACGACGATGTAGCCATTATCAAAGAGTAGAGGATCCAATCACAAGAGTTTGCATATTTTTTCACACTAGTAAATTAATTATTATATTTTTTTAATGTGCTTTGGTATTTTTAAATTGCTTTGGTATTTTTAATGTGCTTTGAAATTTTTTAATCCAACTCATTTGAGATTAAATACTATGGCTATTCTAGTAAGGTTTTTATTGGTTTAAAATTTAAACTAACTTTTTTTCGGGTTGAAACGAGTTATCTACGAGTAAACTTGTTAAGAACTTGTTATGCTATGGTTGTTATTAACAGGTTCTTAAAGTGTGGCTCGATAACAACCGATTGGTTAATGTGTTGACTCGAAATCCGTTATTTTCGTATCGTTTTGGATCAGGTTTACATGTCGTGTAAGAAATTGTCGGGTGCAATCTGATGTGAAAATTTTGTAATATGAATTGGAAACTTTTTTTTGAACCGATAATTTCGAAAATCAGCCTTAATGCTAAATTTAGTGTTATATAAGAAATGAATTAATTAGCATTACACATTTAAGGCTATTTAAATGTGAGATTTAAAGTCATTTAGGTCATCTCCAACCGATCCGGCCATAAAGTTAAAAGGTAAAAAATAATTCGAAATAATACAAAAACTGTCACCAATCAAAGATTAAGTCAAAAAGCTCGTGGGCTCCCCCAGGCCGAAAAAGAAGAATCAGATCAACCGGCTGGCTCAAAGAGCCAGCCAGCTAGCCCCGGGCCGGCCTCTCTTCCTCTCGCAGGCAACGACTCAAGCTTCTCTCTTCCTCCTCTTCTTCTTCTGATTCATCTTCTGTCTCTCCCATCGAGCTTTACGTTTTGACGATCTTTAGGGTTTTGAAATCTGAAGCTTCAAAACCATGGAAGACGCTTCAAATTCGAACCCAATCTCTGGAATTCGAACTCAATCCCAGGCCGAGGGCCGAGCGGCATCTCTCACTTGTATAAATACCAAACAAACGCAGCCCTTCATTTGCTTGCTTGTCTGACCATCTCACCCGGTTTTCGAGCTTCACACCAGACACAAAGACGCAGAAGCACCAAAAATGGAGAAAGCGATCAACAGGCAGCGTGTTCTGCTCGACCACCTCCGCCCTCCCTCCGCCGACTCTTCTTCTTCTCTCTCCGTAAGCCTCTCTCTTTCTCCTCCTCGTCTTCCCCAAAGTTCGATTCATCCTTAATTTGATTTGATTCAACAAAACATACATACGTGTGTGTGTATATAAAAGATTTGAATTCGATCGAATTCCAGCTCTCTAATTTGATAAAACTGATTTCGGATTCAAATGATATGATATGATGCTTCTCGATCAGGTTCAATTTTGTATATGTATCGATTCCTAGAGATTTTTGAGATGTTTTTGGGTGACAAATCTGAACATTTTTGGTTTGCAGAGCTTATCGGACTCCGATTTGCAAGGCGAAACGCAGCGGCCTCAAGGATACTCATGCTGATGATCTTCTTGCACCTGTTTTGAAGGTTTGTTATTACCATTATCTTCGTTTTTGCATTCTCGTTTTTGTTTCTGGTGAAGTTTGATAGGAACAAGTATTATTCCATGAACTATTGTTATCTTGAATTGATAGAAAGAAGTATATTTTTTTCTTACCGGGACGACAATTGCTTGCTGTAGGCAGTTGTGGAAAAGACCAATGTGAACCCGAGTGAAATTGGAGATATCGTCATTTTTGTCCTTTGTTTCCGTTTTAGAAAAATAGTTCCTTGCACAAATGATGTCTTTAACAGGATTGTAAGATTCATAAATTTAAGCAACCATATTAAGTCAGTTAAAATAATAAATTATGTTTAGCCTTAAGGTCATTTCGGTTGGAGATGATTTTTTGTAGCAGAGTTATGTTTGGCTTATAGACCTTTGGCCTCTCGGTTAGAGATGGTAAGAAATATGCCCTGATACTGTTTATTAAAATATAATTTTTTGGAGGGCTATAGGGCTAAAACAAACTCTTTGGCCCTCCTTCGGTTGGAGATGACCTTAGTATTATAGTCTAGTGATATTTTTATTCACTGATAAGTGTATTATAGTCTAGTGGTATTTCTATTCATTGGTAAGTAAAAGGTCTTAGGTTTGGTTCTCGCCAAAGGAAAATTTGAATCACATTATTGCTAACTCATTGTGAGACTTAGCCCACTCCCCTAACATTTAGTGTAGATAATATCGTTTGTTAAAAAAAAATGAGACTTAAATATGATCAAGTCAGGGCTATCCAAACAATTCCCTACTGTCAGTCCAAATCAAGTCTATTACATGCAACAAATACCCCCTTATAGTACTTACCTGTGTCCAAAAACTTAAATGTGTATTCACGTAATCAATCATCAAATGGTACAAGAAAAAACCATGAAGAAATCATTTCATGGATAGTTTTCACCTAATGACCATCAAGAAAAGAAAAAAGGTCATGGATACATGATAATATACAAATACAAGTACATCTAACTTTCTCACAGTTTTTCCAGTGAGCCATCGGTACGAAAAAATAAAAATATTTTCATGCATTTAAGCAATCGCGCACATGGGTACAACCGCACACGGGCCGGTCCAATGTTTTAGAAGGCCCTGTGCAGGATTTAAAATGAGGGCCCCCTTCTAAACAACTTTGCATGTAAAAATGTTATTTGAAAAAATAAATGTAAAAGAAAATTATTGGCTAGGATAATGTACATCCATTAAATATAGTAATTAAGAGTAAATTATATATCATTTTCTTTCACTCCTCATTCATCTTTAATGCGACATTATCTCACTGTACAAATATCATAATCAGAATCGTACAAATAATTGTAAACACAAAAATTCTGTAACGAATGAAACGAGAACATGTGTACAAAGCAAATTTGTATTGATGAATTTGTAGGGTTACAAACTTTGTTTACAATTTTCCTCTGATTCAGTCTTCAAATTTGATGCAGATACCTATGTTGTTGATCCAAGGGTCGCGATGACTTGTTCTCGGACCAATGGTTGAACAATTGCTTCAAGTTTTGAGCTTGAAACAATGCGTTGATAGTCTTCACCTTTAGGGTTGTGTATGACCTGCGACAAGGTGATGTTGATGTGGGATTTTGTTGATTTAAGGGTCTTGGCAACTTGATTTTGAATCGAACGTCGTTATAAGTTTTAAGCTTGTAACAAAGTATTGAAGGAGTCGGCACAAGTGCTTGTTGATTCTTCAAGAGAATGCTTCAGCTTTGGTCGAAAGAAAACTTCGGCTTTGGTATACGTTCTTCGAAGAGAGCTTTGACAGCGTATTAGTCTTCAAAGATTTGGCAGAGGTTATCCTTTTGTGAGAATTTCAGCCATTCAATGTAGAAATTGTGGACCCCTATTTGTGTTTGGGGACCTTATATTTATAGACTTCCAAAGCTATGCCTTTGGATGGATTTGACTTTGATTTGTGTCTTGATTCATCCATGGGAGAATTTAGACATGTTTTGTGTCTTAATTTAGCCACTTTCCCTTGCTTGGTCAAATTATAGGGCTTTCTTGCCTATTTTGTGAGTAATATTCAATTCTTGCTTGTTTTGTGAAGATGCTTTAGCTTTCTTTCGGTTTTGGGAGCAATTTGGGTCCTTTAACGATTTTAAGAAGATTTCTTCCCATTTGCCGCATTTTAGGAATGCTTTTGAGCTTCATTTGCTTGATTTGTGCCACATATCATTGATGACTTGTCCATTTGTGATGAGTCATATGCCGTGTGGAGCTTTGTTATGCATTATTTGCATGCAACGAAATTTTCATGTCTATAGATGCCCCCACTTCAAGGCGCGTTGTAGGCATGTGCTTGTCGCATGCAAGAAACGTGTTTTGAAGTCTTGCGATGTGAATGTGCTAATTCAAGAGTCGTCGAGACTTGATCTTGAATTAGTTTGCTTCTTCAATGGCTGTAAAGGCTTGATCTTAAACGAAACATTTCTTCAAGGGCCGTTGAGGCGTATTTCTTGGACAAAACATTTCTTCAAGGACCATAGAGGCTTGATCTTGAATGAAATGAAAATTTTCTTCAACGGCCGTAGATGCTTGATCTTGAATGAAAATGTAATTTTCCTTCATGAGCCGTAGATGCTTGATCTTGAAAGAAATGAAAATTTTCTTCCAAGGTTGTAGAGGCTTGATCTTGAAAGAAATTTTGGAAATAGATAAATCGGCACATACTTATTGTGCGTATTGATTTTCCATAATTTTGACAAAATACATTTGGTGTATTTTGAATTTTTTTCCTTGTGGTTGTAGGAGAAAAAAAAAAGTTGTTTCCTTCATTAGGTAGGAACCTCCTTCAATTTTGGTAATGAGGGTGATTTCCTTCAAAGTGTTGGAAAACTTTAGTAATTTCCTTCAAAGCTTTGGAAAGATTTAATGGTTGTCCTTAGGTAAGTAGGATTTGCATTTTTTTCCTTTTTACGGCAAGTAGAGTGTTTTCCCTCTTAGTTTGGGAAACTTGACAACTTGTCTTTGCTTTGGAGGGATTCCCTTTTGTATTTTGGCAAGGAAAAGTACTTTCCTTTGATGTTTTTGGGAATTTTAAAGTCGTTTCCTTATTTTTTTTTTGTTACCCTTTCTTCTTTTTGTTGATTTTTTGTGCCAAAAACAGCATGCTTTTCCCTTGTTGGCCGAAATTACATTGCCCTTTTTGCTTGGAATTTGCTTCCTTCTTGCAGCTAGAATGTGCTTCCTTGTTTTGATTTTCCTTTTGGTATTTGGTATGTGTTCTCCCTATAGCATTAGGAAGCAATTGACCCTTAATATAGGGCAATTGGGTGTGTTTTTGTCACAAAACATCCTTGTCGTGCACTGTTTTTGTGCTTGTCGTGCCTTGTAGCTGCTTGAAGATGTCGTGGGTTTGCTTGTTGCTTGGTGCCGTGGCTTATAGCTGCTTAGAGTCGTGCCTTTTTCTGCTTAGTGCTTGTTACAATGCGTCACTTTTTACCGCGTGGTGCTATGCAAAAGATTGCAGCAGGGTTTCGCTGTGTAGTGCCTTTTGGTCACAGTTTCTCTTGGTGGTGACGTTGTCGTTCAGTGCAAGAAATTGTTTGCGTAATCGCTACGGGGTTGCATAGTGCGATTGCGTAGTATTTTGGTTTTCTTTGCTACTGTAGTGTGCTTTGAATGACCTTCTCAAGCTTTATGGCTGATTTCTTTTCATCCTTGTGACTTTGTCATCGTCATCCTTTAACGCTCGCGAGGTTTGTCTCACATGTATTTTTCTTTAGTGAAGCAATTTTTTTTTCTCCTTCTTGCCGTCCCACTTTTTATGTTTATGTTGCCTTATTTGTTTTGTTACAGCCATGGTATTTTTCAAATGCTTTAAAAGTAATACCATCACCATTCTTGCGAAGGAAGGCAATTCGCAAGATAAGGGAACGACGTTGAAGCTTTGTGCACTGTTGACTAGCCCTAAGGCGCTTGTTCTTCCTGTAAAAGATAATTCGATCCATATCAAGTCGTGGTCGTCTGAAGTATCTTGGGAGGTGATAGATTTTGGTCGACCAAATACGAAGAAGAAGGCATGTACGTTGAGGATTCTTATCTTGAATTCTTCGCACCATGTTCGTGACAATTCACCATCTTCATTTAAGCTTCTTCATGATTGCATCCGTAGCGGAGCAATGACTTGAAATGACATCTTGTCTACTATTGGAGAGGCTGTCTTTGCTGAGTTTTATTGAGAGTGACTTGAAGATGTCTTGAGCCGATCTAAAGATATGCTTACCAACGTAGGCCTTTATCTCCCTGTGTACGTATGTTTGTTTAGTTATAATCGTCATCCTTCCGTCCTTCGTGTGTTCTTTAAGTATTAGTGTTCAGTGGTTAACACATTTCACACATCATAAAGGGAAATGTCGATTTCACTTTGGGATCTTCACAAGATAGGAGGCTTGCCGATCCATGGTAAGTTTTATGACAAGGTTGTTCCTAGCGTGGAGGAATTTTCTCATCGCAACAGCAGAGGATTTCTTGCGAATTGTCATTATTTGTTTTGGGCGTATCACAAGCTTTACCACGATGCTCAGGTTAAGTCAGGCATGATGGATCCGATTTTGGTATTGAGATGCCATGAAGTACAAGAAGCCTTCGAAGAAAAATGGCCGTAACATGACCACTAAGCCAAAGGGAGACTCAGACTCATCAGGTGCCATTGGTTCAGCTAGGCGCCGTGCCCCTTCCGAGTTGCAAGTGTTCAAGGATCTTGGTGTAGCGTCATAGCACGTGCAATAATTTTACCTAGTCGTTTTCTTAGCTTGTTGGCTTTGTAAGTTTATTTTCCTTAAAGATGACGTCAACTTACCCTAGAGTCTTTAAAGTGGCTAGCAAGATGGCTGCAGGTGAATCTTTCAGCCTTGCTATTCCGGTCTTAGTCATATTTATAATGGCTTAAATGTTGTTTCGAACTCGGCGAGCATCGAAGATAGTGGTGCAGTATTTCCCTACAACTATGTGTACGGTTGGTTGGGTGAGTATTTTGGCACTAATTTTCTTCGTCGACTTTTCACAAGTCGGGCTCTTCTTCAACAACTTTAGTCAAGTTGGGGCCTTTAATGACAAAGTACTATGGCGTGCTTTCTGCGTAGAGTTTTGATGATTTGCAGGCGCAAGCGTTGTTTAGAAGTTGTGACGGTTTGAGGATGGACCATTTGGCAAGAGTTGGCTCGACGCAGTGAGGTCTTATAGATGATTCACACCTTCGTTTCTCAAACTTGTCTTACATCATAAGTCTTTGCTCGGGGTATGTTTCTTTGCGGCAAGGAGACCGATGTATTGTTCAGCTGTATAATCCTTATCGTTTCAGCGGACAGTTTGGTTTTGTCTAACATGTGCCGGGTAAGTTAAAGGAAAACGCACGGTCAGAATCTTTGCAAGCCGTGTATATTCATTGAGAGTCTTGTACCCATGCATGCACAAATGCTTTTATCACCTTGTCGACCAAGGACGAGTTCAAGAGTAATCTAGTGACCTGTGCTTATGTAGGTTGGTGGTTAAAGATACACCATGAAGACTTAGGGACGACAAGTGGCACTAATTATTCTCATTCATGCAATGATGCATTGAGAGGGTTGTTCTGCGGTTTCTATGTAACTGGCACCTTTTGATTGTGCGAGTACAGCTCATTTGCAAGGTGGACTTGTGGCTTTAGCTCATCAACATCTGTCTTTGTCTTCTCAACATTTCGATGCTTCTGAAGAGGCAGGTGACGAAGTTGATTCACATGAAGATGAACTTGTTTTGCAGTAGAATCAACAAGTTTTAAATAAGCGATCGCTTGAAGGCCTTCAGGATGATAGGGACGTCAATTTTCGTCATAAGAAGAAGAAAATGTTTAGGTATCCTCAGTTTGATGGCTATGTGTCACTTGAGAAAGATGTATGTACTTCATTATTTCTTATGATTTCTTCTGCTTTCATTGGTTTAGCTTTTGTTTCTAACATCTTTCTTCGTCTTCTTTAGGCTGGGCCCTCTTGTTCTTTTGATTTGGTGTACATGTGCATTCATTCCTTTACGAAGATGTTATTTAGAGGCAACTTACCTACGGATGAGGAGATTAGGGATCTGCTTGGTGTAAAGCTTGCTACAAATCCGTCAAGTTGCCCAAATTTGCCGTGTGTAGGTGTAAGTATGCAAGAGCCTGTCATGCATCCAACATCTTTGCTAGCTAGCTTCGATCTCTCTTAAATGGCCGAACCTTAGTGGCACTGAGCAACTCATCCATCGCATCAACCTTCGCGCGGCTATGGATATCAAGAGAAGAGGATTTCAAAGTGCGCATCGGAGGACCCTGCGTTGCTCAAGGAAGACTTATTGAAGCTTGTTTCTGCGATCGATAACCTTAATGTTGATTCCTCAATCTTGAGAGTCAAGAATATCGAACTTATGGCTACCTTAACGAGTATTCTTCTTTGCATGCTGTTTCTTTGAAGAAGTTGAATCCAGAGGTTAGAGCTCAGCAACTTGTGGCAATGGACTTATCAATTGCCCAAGTTCGGTCTTCTCAGCAAGCCGTTTCGGAAGGTTATCAAGCCACAATGATTTCTTTAGCTTCTGTCTAGGCGTGTCTAGAAGCATTGGCGCGAGAGTGAAAGCAGTTGGAAATCGAAGCATCACGACTTTAAGGTTTTCTTTTGGAGCAGGAAGCTACATTTTCTCAACATCAAGAGGAGATTTCGTGCTTATAGCAAGAGAAAGACGCGGTTATGGAGGTGCCCACCTTGTCCCCCACCGTCATCGTAGTTTTACGAACATAGCTTTCAAGTAGTGTCTTCCGTTCTTTGTACTTTAAGCCTTCTTTATTTTTGCTCATTTTGTAATACGGCTTTGTAGCCAAATTCTTCCTTTAAAGAAAAGTATTCACAATCTTGAATTTGCTTTTTATTCTTCAAAGTGTTTGTGTTTTGTTGATGATGTGACTGTACTTGAAGTTTTGATGTTTCAAGTTGCCTACGTACCCTCGGTTGAGGAAGGATCAAGTCATGACATAGTTCAAAGGAAATAATGGATTGTTTATTTTTTATTTTTTTTTAATTTTTTGATGGTTTTCCATTGAAGGTAAGAAGGCGCACCATCATCCACATTGGCCAATCTTCACGCCAACAAGCTTTAGAGGATGACACTAAAAAGGAGGTCGAAGACGTCTTCCACATCACATCCAAAAAGACAAAGAAGATGAAATCCCCGATGAGGATGTCACTTCGTGCCACCACAGCTTGAGGATGAAGGGCAAGCCATGATTGATGATCTTAAGGAGCTCAACTTAGGCACAAGCAAGGAATTGAAGCCTATCTTTGTAAGTGCATTACTAAGTGCGGACAAGATCGATGAGTATTACCAATTACTAATGGAGTACAAAGATGTCTTTCCTTGGACCTACAAAGAAATGCCCGACCTTGACCCTACCATCGCCGTTCATCATCTTGTAGTCAAGCCTGGAACGCGACCGATAAAGCAAACTCAAAAGTGTTATCGATCCGAGCTCATCCCACAAGTTGAGGCTGAGATTGACATGCTAATTGAAACAGGCTTAATTCGAGAGGTGCAATACCCTAAATGGATCTCCAACATAGTCATTGTTCTTAAGAAATCTAGACAAATATGTGTTTACGTAGATTTCCGTGACCTTAACGATGCTTGCCCAAAGGATGACTTTCCTTTGCCAATCATCAAAATCATGGTAGACGCAACCACTGGTCACAAGGCACTATGGACAAGCTCTGTGAGAAATACAAGCTTAAGCAGCACAAGTCTTCCATGTATTATGCTCCGACCAACGGTCTCGCGGAAACATTCAACAAAAAGATGTGCAACATCGTGAAGAAGGTAATCGGCCGAACAAAGAGAGACTGGCACGAAAGAACAAGCGAAGCACTTTGGGCATATAGGACGACACATATGACTCCTACCCAAGTTATGCATTATTCTCTCGTATATGGCGTAGAAGCTGTTCTACCGTTCGAAAGTCAAATCCCCTCATTAAAGATGGCTATACAAGAAGGCTTAACTGAAGAGGAAAACACAAAGCTGCGACTTCAAGAGTTGGAAGCACTCGACGAAAGAAGGCTCGAAGCTCAACAACACTTGGAATGTTACCAACCACAACTATTCCAGGCATTCAATAAAAAGGTCCGCCCAAGGTCTTTCCAAACTGGAGATCTTGTCTTAGCATTACGAAGGCCCATCATCATAACTTACAAAACAGAAAGCAAGTTCACATCAAAGTGGGATGGACTTTACGTAATACAAAAGGTCTACACCAATGACGCTTACTTAATCATGGCGGAAGACGGCTTAAAGATCAGCCCCATCAATGGCAGATTCTTGAAGCGCTACTACCTCTAAACCAAACAAACAAGCTCATCGCCTGCATAAGCCTAAACTGCACACTGCACAAAGCTCCTCGCCTGTATGAGCCTAAACTGCACACGACAACAATGTTCCTCGCCTGCAAGAGCCTAAACTACAAACGACACAATGCTCCTCGCCTGCACGAGCTTAAATTGCATACGACACAATGCTCCTCACCTGCACGAGCCTAAACTGCATACGACACAATGCTTCTCGCCTGCACGAGCCTAAACTGCATACGAGACAATGTTCCTTGCCTGCACGAGCCTAAATTGCACACGTCACAAAGCTCATCGCCTGCATGAGCCTAAACTACACACGGCATAATGCTCCTTGTTCGCACGATCCTAAAAGGTGACACCCAATGCTCATCGCTTGCATAAGCCTAAGCTGCACATGGCACAAAGCTCCTTGCCTGTATAAGCCTAAACTACACACGACAACAATGCTCCTTGTTCGCACGAGCTTAAATGGTGACACCCAATGCTCTTTGTTCGCACCAGTTTAAAAGGTGACACTCAACGCTCCTGGCTTGTAATAGCATAAACTGTGTATAGCAAAATCGCCATCAAAAGCAATCCATCATTCTTTTGAACTACGTCATGACTTGATCCCTCCTCAACCGAAGGTACGTAGGCAACTTGAAGCTTTAAAACTTCAAGTACAATCACACCATCAACAAAAACACAAACACTTTAAAGAATAAAGAGCAAATTCAAGAATGTGAATACTTTATTACAAAGTAAGCAAAAAAAAATAAAAATAAAAAAAACATGGAAAGCTTTAAGCACAAAAATGGAAGACACTACTGAAGAGTTATGTCCCTAAAACTACAGCGATGGTCTTTAAGCAAGCCGTCCAAAGTCTTCAAAGTCTCTACATCGGTGAGAGACAAGGTGGGCATTTCCATGGCCGCGCCTTTCTCTTACTATATTTGGGAAACCTCCTCTTGATACTGAGAAAGTGTAGCTTCCTGCTCCAAGAGTACACATTGAAGTCGTGACGCTTTGGTTTCCAACTGCTCTCGTTCACGCGCCAAAGCTTCTAGACGTGCTTGGACGGAAGCCAAAGAAGCCCATGTGGCTTGATAACCTTCCGAAGCGGCTTGCTATGAAGATTGAACTTGGACAATTGATAAGTCTATTGTGGCAAATTTCTGAGTTCTAATCTCTGGATTCAACTTCTTAGAGGAAACAACATGCAAAAAAGAATACTTAGTCGAGGTAGCCATAAGCTCGGCAATCTTGATTCTTAAGAGCGAGGAATCCACGTTAAGGTTGTCAATCGTAGAAACAAGCTTCGACAAGTCCTTATTGAGCAACGCAAGGTCCTTCAATGGGCATTTTGAAATCCACTTCTTAATATGGCTCTTGATATCTATGCCCGCGCGAAAGTTGATGCGATGGATAAGCTGCTTAGTGCCACTAAGGTTCGGTCATCTCAAATACATCTCAGACCTAACTGGCAAAGGTGTTGGACGCATGACGGGCTCTTGCATACCTTCACCTACACACTGCAAACTTGGGCAACTTGGCGGATTTGGAACAAGCTCTGCATTGGGTGGATCCCCAATCTCCTCGTTTATAGGTAGATTGCCTCCAAATAGCATCTCTGTGAAGGAATGAACACCCATGTTTGCCAAATCAATGGAACAAGAAGGCATAGCCTAAAGAAGACAAAGAAAGGTGTTAAAAACACAAGCGAAAACAATGAAAGCAGAAGAAATCACAAGAAAGAAGGAAATACATACATCTTTCTCAGGTGACATATGGTCATCAAACTAAGGAGGCCTAAACACTTTCTTCTTATGACGGAAATTAACATCACTGTCATCCAGAGCACTTTCATGTGGTCGCTTGTTCAAAACTTGTTAATGTTGTTGCAAAACAAGGTAATCTCCGTGCGAATCAACTTCGTCACCCGCCTCTTTAGAAACATCCGAATGTTGGAAGACAAGCACGGGGGTTGAAGAGCTATAGTCGCAAGTCCATCTTGAAAATGAGCTTCACTCACATAATCAAATGGTGCCAGTTGCGTAGGAATTGCAGAACAACCCTTTCTCGACACATCATTGCGTGAATGAGAAGAATTGGTGTCATTTGCCGTCCCATAGTCTTCACGATGTATCTTTGACCACCAACCTGCTTAGGCACAGGTCACTGGATTACTCTTGAACTCGTCCTTGGTCGACAGAGTGATACAAGCATTTGTGCATGAACGGGTACATGACTCCCAATACATATACACGGCTTGGAAAGATTTCAGATGTGTGTTTTCCTTCAGCTTGCCTAGCACATGTTGGACAAAACCAAATTGCCTTATGAAATGGTAAGGGTTGTACGGCTGAATAATACATCAGTTTTTTTGCCATAAAGAAACATACCCCAAGCACAAACTTGTAATATAAGACAAGTCTGAGAAATAAAGGTGTGAATCATCTACGAGGCCTCGCCATGTCGAACTAACCTTTGCCAGGTGATTCATTCTCAAACCTTCACAACTTCTAAACAATGTTTGCGCCTGTAAATCATCAAAGCTCTTTGCGAAAAACACGCCAGAGTACTTTGTCATTAAAGGCCTCAGCTTGGATGAAGTTAAGGAAGAAGGCTCCGACTTGTCTAAAGTTGACGAAGAAAAATGAGTGCCAAAGTACTTACCTAACCAATCGTACACATAGTGGTAGGGCTCGTTGAGTTCGAAACAATACTTAAGCCATTGTAAATATTGGCTAAAACCGAAATAGCAAGGCTGGAAGATTCACTTGTAGCCATCTAGCTAGCCACTTTGAAGACTCTGGGATGGATAATGTTGATGTCGTCTTTGAGGAAAACAAACTTACAAAGACAACAAGATAAGAAAACAGCTAGGTAAGATTCTTCCACGTGCTCTGACGCTACGCCAAGATCCTCAAACACTTTTAATTCGGTAGGGGAACGGTGCCTAGTTGAACCAACGGCACCTGACGGGTATGAGTCTCCATTTGGCTTGGTAGTCTTGTTGTGGCCACTTTTCTTTGAAGGCTTCTTATACTTCATGGCATCCCAATACCAAAATCCGATCTATAAAGAAATCTTCATGCTTAACTTACCCTGAGCCTCATAGGAAAGCTTATGATACACCCAAAACAAAGAACGGTAACTCACAGGCAATCCTCGACTATTGCGATGAGAAAATTCCTTCATACTAGGAACAACCTCGTCGTAAAACTTACCCTGGATCGGTAAGCCTCCTATCTTGTGGAGATCCCAAAGTGAAATTTACATTTCCTTTTGTGACGTGTGAAGTGTATTGGTCGCTGAACACCAATGCTTAAAGAACGCATACACAACATGATAAAGGCCCTTGTTGGTAAGTACATCTTTGGATTAGCTCAAGACATCTTTAAGTCACTCCTAGTAAAACTCCGCAAAGACGGCTTCTCCAGTAGTCAACAATGTGCTATTCCAAGTCATAAATCCGCTACGAATGTGATCACCAAGAAGCTTAAATGAAGCCGGTGAATTGTCACGAACATGGTGCTAA